CATCACCCAGCCTTGCAGGAAACACTCGGGAACACATTGGTGTTGTTTACACCAGCTGTTTGCACCTGGTGAGCAGAGCATGCATTCACAGCCTCCTCATCAATCAGGAGATCTGGGGCAGAGAGCCAGATGGGTATTAAACCTAGCGTGAGAATGGCAAAGGAAGCCCCTCGGCCTGGCAGAATCCTCATTAAATTGGGTGGCATTATCCACAGCTCGATGTCCCCGTGAAGGCCCGAGGGACTCTAACACCATCCCTTTGCCTACAGGTATGCTAGCCACCCCCTGCTCTGCACAACCATCTCCAGTAGTATGTATACTCTCTGCCATAAAGGAGAATTCAAGTCTTTCGATATCTCTGTTGCACCTTTTGGTCACTGTTCCATTGTGACAACTTTGCATTTGCCTATTCATCTCAATATTTCCTCAAATCCTTTTGCAAGCAGGCAGAATTGAAATAATGAATATGTAAATGCTCATTGTGGACTCTACCAAGACTTACAGGATGCCTAGCCTATGGATATTTCTTAAAAAGAATTTTTTGAATGCATGAATGCAAAGAGAGATGATTTCACCAACAAACTTATGGTAAGATCTGCCATGAAGCATGCACTGTGTGGGAAATAAACAGTAAGACAGAGTAGCTGTTCTCCAGGACTTTGTAGTCTGGTTGCAGCAAGTAGCAGAGACCTTTCCAGTTCACAGAGTATCCACTCACATCCACATATATCCCAGTGTCTTCATAATTAGGCTGGTCTTCGCCAGTGCGATAAATGGAAGTGATGATGGAAGTAAGGGATGACACTTCCAGACTGAAGTGTCTCACACCCTCTGTGTGACTCCCCACTACCGCTCCTGCTCTCTTTTTCTCTAACATTGTGCCCATGTGGACTCCATCAGTCTGGGTCCTTGAGTGACTGTGTGAAACAGAGACCCTGGCTTGTCACATTAGACATATAGCATGAGCAAGAACAAATGAACAACTTCACATTATGCAGCTGAGATCTTCGGATGTATTCATTATGCTAGCACAGCCTCGTCTATTCAAATCTGGGAAACACACAAATACAGGAATGATACTAGGCTGACTCCTGCCTTGCTGGTTTATAAGCCACCAAGTCTGGGGGATTATGTCCCCTCTGCTCTTGCATTTGCTGTCAGGTCTCTGTGCGGTTGGTGCCCTCCTGTTGTTCAGGTCTCACCTGTAATGCTCCCACTTCAACAGGCCTTTCCTGACCCCCGGATCCAAAGTGCACAACCCCAACAGCGATCACATCTCCCTGCTTTGCTTGCTGGCCCTCCGTGAGATGTTCTTATCTACTATCCTTCTTTCCCTCACCCAGTGTTGTCCAGGAGAAGCAGGGATCGTGTCTTTCTTGTTTACAGCTGTGCTTCCAGAATGGGGCCTGGCAGGAAGTAGGCACTCAATCAACATCAGGAATGAATGAACAGATGAATGATCAGAAGTGGGTGGGAGGAAATTCACTGAGGGCTGAGTGTCCAGGAAAGAATTCATCAGGAGGCAAGCCTTGAGAGGCCCTTTAGAGAGGGTCACCGTGGGTCATCACAGTGGTTACGGCAGCCTGAGCAAGCATAGGGGGCAACACACAGGCAGGTGGTCTGGGGTGACTGTGAGTTGAGTGGGCTCACTGGAGTGGGGAGGACAGTGGGAAGAAGGTGGTTGAGAGCTTCAAATGTTAGTTTATATCTGAACTAAGGGCAAAAGGAAGCTCTCTGCGGAGGCTGAATGGCACTGATACCCCCAACTCACTGTTTGAGAAAGGCTGACTGGGTGGGGATTTCTGAGGTAGAGGCCCATAGAAAAGAAGCTGAACACAGGGCACAGTCATTAGGCTGTGACATCAGTCCAGATAGGGGTGATAGTCTGGACAGGAAGGAGGAAAATGGTAAAGGAGGGATTGATTAAACTTGATCTGGAAAAGTCTCCTCTCTGCCCAGTGCCACAGCTGGGGGTGGGAGGGACAAGGAGCCTGGTCTGGAACTAACAGGTTCTTCCCTGTGGACTCTCTAATTCACTGGTCCTTCCACTCACTGCACAGCAGCACCTGTTTCAGCCCCTGGGGATGATCAGTCTAAGACAGACAAGAGCAACAATCCAGGATAATGCCTGCATGGGTTCCTCAGTGAAGACGCAAACACCACTTCAATCCAGACAGTAAGAAACTTACATCAAAATAGCACAAAAGACACTTGTATTTTACAGGTAGAATCTGAGTTTGAACCTTCCTATATAACACTTCCCCTGCTGACCACACATAGCTTTTGTAAAGATAAAATGGGACACAGGACTTTTTTTTTTTAGTTTAAAAACAATTTATGGGTATTGCTATCACAAAGAACAAAATATACTTGCTAGAATTTCATCTCCTTCCCAGTGCACAGACTTTCATAGGAAGAACTGGTCACTGGTTTAGCAGCCTGAAGGGGCTGGAACTTCTGGGGTGAGGGAGGACCATTAGAAGCAGTGGATGCAGCTTCACAGTATGGAAACTGCTCTGTGGTCCAAAGCAAACAGAATTTGCCCAACCTTGTACATGGGAGGTGTTCACTAAATACTTGCTAATGAGATTTTGATAGTTAACTACTCCATTTCTGTTCTGTCTTTACTACTCTCTGAAGCTGTGTAAGAAAAGCGAAATAAAGTAACGCCCATGGACAGCAGGAAGACATTTCTACAACCCTCATTCCCCGCTCCTCTCTTCCCTGCTTCCTGTCTACGCGCTTGGTAATCTCCTTCACATCAGAACTTCCAGGCTCTCTCCCCACTGGCATCCTATATCCCTGCCAAGTAATCCTGCAAACACACAGCTCCCATCACATCACACCCTTTGAGAGATCCTCGGTGGTGTTGGGAGCTATTGAGTCAGGAGCTGCTGAGGTGACATTTCTTTCCCCTGCTGGTTTTTCTTCCACATGGAGGGACTGTGATCAGTTGTGACATCCTGCCTCTTCTCTGCCACCTCACTCATTTCTTCTCTTGGGTGACAGAAGGGGGAGTAGCTTATCTCAGTAGTCTGTCTGGAAGGTGACAGTGGCACTCCTTGCCTGCCCACTCCTCTGCCCATCCTTTGGGGAGCAAAGGGCCTACAGGAAGCAGGTGTTCTCTGCACCCCCCTACCTCTGTCCTAAGACTTTCAGGGCCTCCCTGTTCACTGTTGTCCACCATCAGGAGGGTTTATCTGCCTGTGATCCAGTATTAGGAGGCCTATTGGGCTCTTCTACTAAGATGCTTCCTCCAGTGTAGCCTTTCCAGCTTTGAATGTGATACCCTGATTTTTGTCTCCATCTGCCTTTGTTTTATTTCTCAGCTAGTTGAGGATTCAGGCCAGGATGATGGATACTTTTCATGAGATGTCCCTTCGAACTCCTGGAAATACTTTTCCATTGTCTATAAAAATAAGCAGAGTCCTCAGCTTGGCATTTGAGGTTTCCCACCAAAAAATAAAAATAAAAAGGTGTCATCAACTTTCTAGGCCTAGTCCCCCACTATGCTGTGCCTGGGACATGCCACAGATGCTAGAACAACCACCCCCTGGGCTCCAGTGGCATCCTGGAATGCCTCGTGTTTTCTCTCTTCCGATGCTAAGCTCTGCTCCTTCGGCGCCCCAGTACAAGGCCCGCCAAAACTCTACCCACCTACCCATCATACGAGCTGGGGCACATGCCCCTTCTCTGTGTGCCTTTCTTGACCCAGAGGGATCTGATCTCCTTCTTTAGTGCCGGATTTCTCATTTTGTCTCCTCTGCCAGGAACCTTCTCCTCCTGCCCACTCCCTCCTCCCCCTGCACATGCCTATCGGACCACCACTTATCTCTGAGCTCTCTGACTGGAGGCCTTTACCTCCGAGCCTCCCTTGAGCCCTGAGGAGTGTTGGCTGGTCCTCCTAAGTGCTTCCATAGAACCCTGTATACCACTAAATATGCGGAAGTAAAATGCTCTGCCTACTTGTCTCAAGAAGTTTATGAAGGCATATAGATAACACTTACAATTACGTGCAAGCTAAAGAGAGCAGAAGTGCCACTCCGGATGGTAAATTGCCTACATCCACATAGAAACCAAAGGTAAATGCTCACTGTGAACAGAGTCCCAGCCGGGGAAAGGCACTGAACGAGTAACTGGAATTAGTGAAGCCTTTCCGGAATTCTCTGGTCCTCCAGGGAAGGCTCTCTCGAAGAGGGGGTTATCCTATTTAGTGTCTAGCTTCTAACTGGTCAGTGAATTAAAGACATCATATCATTAATTCGACTTCCCGGAGGTGAACAGGAGGCCAAGACTCCTACTCCCTGGATTCAGCGGGGGAAAAGGGGTACATCCAGGCCACCCAGAATAAATCCGATGAGGAAAGGGTCTCAGCTCTCAGCCCTCCCCCACCTAATAAGCACAAATGCCAAAAAGTGGTGTTCAGGCAACAGCAGGTTGCAGCTCAAATGACATGTCTGAATATTGAGGCCACTGCATTTTTCTCACTGGCTTGAAGCTTGGGAAGTCTGATATGCCTCTTTGAAGTCTGCTTGGTGCACAGGGAATGTGTGGATTTTCTGAGGCCTCTGACAATGTGGGAATAGATAAGACCCTCTCAGGCTCAAGTATCAAGAGGCTTTCTCAACTTTATAAACGCTGCTGGGAAAATTAGGAGAGCTAAAACTCTGAGATTTTTAACAGGAAGCGTTGAACCTGGCTTGCTTCTAAGTTAGGCTAAAAAGAATAGACTCATGGATTATTCTTAGGGAAGAGTGAGGCAATCAACCTGGGCTGGAGAACAATTTCTGCCTGGGAGAGACCTTGATAGGCCCTACATAACCTACATAAGCGAGTACATAACCACTGTACTCCCTTATTTCCCCATTTGAAATGCACTGCACAAAGCATCTTATTCCTGTTCCTTTTCTCATGTTGGGCCATAACCAAAAGTGTTACCTACATTGAACTAACCCCGTTCAGGGGACCTAGGGCAAACAGGTAATGTGGAGGCACAGTACCGATTTGGGTGAGCCACTTGGCCACAGCACCATAGATCTCATCCAGGATGAGGATGACCACCAGGTTGATGATGACTGCCGTTGCTGTCACTGTCACTCGGACATTGGAGCGTGTGTCCTTGTTGAGAGACAGAGCAGCTGCAACTGTGATACGATACACAATGACCGCAAAGACGATTGAGAAGGTCAGGGCAATCTGTAGAGAAAAAACGACAAGAGTCACATATCTGTGGACAATTACGGAGCACCTATCACTTGCTCAGCCAGCAGTACTATGTGCTACATCAGGTATTCTTAATCTGGAGTCCATTGGCGACAAGGGAACTGCCAACACTCTAAACTCTTGGAAATTCTTAGAATCAATGCATTTTTCAGGAGAGGATTTTTATTCTCCTGTTTTTATCAGATTCCAAATGGCCTGTAACACACACAAAGAACTAGAAATAGAAATGCTGGATACTATGGCGTGTATGAAACACATCGTGTGATTGCATTCATGAAGAGCTTTCAATTCATTATGGAGAAAAGACGAATTCCTGTTAAAACACCGTCAATAATACCTGAGAATGAATTAAGTGTTAAATGAAGAATATAGCTGTTAAAGAGACTGAGAATACAAAGGAGCAAGTAGATCTGAGTGCTCAGGGAATAGTTTGTGGAGCAATGGGATTTAAACTGGGACTCAATGAAAAGAAATAGTGAGCCATTGAAGGTGACTGAGCTGAGAAGGGGTGAGTGAAAGCTTGATGGGGTGGGTGCGAGAAGGTTAACCAAGAAGAAAGAGAGAGAAAACAGGAGTGAGAGTTTCACACTGTCAGTCCCCAGGGTGAAAAAAAGGTCACCCTAATTTCTCTACCAGGCAATCTGATGTGGAGAACTCAGATTTATCACTTGGTGCTGAAATCTCTTGCTGCTATGTTTAAAAGGAAAGTCTGGCAGCCACTTGCCTTCGAAGGGCCTCCCATACCTCTTTCTAGAACCTAAGAATACTAAGGCCTTCTCCCAGACCGGCTTCCTCTCCTCTCACACCACAGCCCAGGGCTGGCCATTCCCCTGATGCACAAATGTCAGGAGAAGAAAGGGCCCTGAAAGAGCCTCCTAGATGGGGCAGAAGGAAGAAAGAGAGCAGCCAGGTGTTTAACCTGCTCAGAGAAAAATGCTAATTTGTTCCAGTCAAGTGAAGTCTTCTTTCTTAGAGTTCTTTTTTGCAAAGGAGGCTGTACAGGTCATATTTCCTCTGGGGGCAGGGAGTGGAGGGCTAGACAGAAAACATGGGGAGAGAAAGGAGCAGGTATAAAGATTCCTTCTGAAGAAACAAGCTTTCCTGGGCTGTCCATTCTCTCCATAAAAAGGAGGGGTGGGGAGGGGGCTCAGGCTTGGCCTTTGCAAGCTGTGCAACTGACACTCTGGTGGGCTTCGGATGGGGAATGGATTGCAGATGTGTCTGAGGGATAGATGTCTTCAGACCTCTGGGGACGGGATACCTGAAGGTGCTGAGGCCCGGGGTGTGCTAGTGGCAGCCTCAGTGGTTTATTCCTTTGTGCTTTACAAATGTTAGTGTTTATCCTGTGGGCCATGGTGCAAAAAAGAAGCCGTCACCAAGGAAGAGAGGATGGGAGTGTTCTCTGGGAAGAGGGAGGGTATGTATGTGTACATATGGGTGCACCCACATACATGTATGTCACGGTGCAGGAGAGGTTGGATGGAAAAACCACTCTGTGGGAGGCCCGTCTTCTGATGCAGGGTCAGGGGTGGGAGCAGCAGAAACCCCAGGCTCCAGGACTAGGGAGGAATGACTACCACATACGTGGGAAAACCAGGACGAGACATCGCTGCTCTCCAACAATGTGGACATTTTCACTTCCTGTTCCTCTGGGATTGTCACTGCCAGACAGTAAGGGCCTGGAAAACGTGGTGTGATATTCTTTTTCCCCAAAATCACTTTTGCAGTGAAGGCCAGTGATGGAAGTAATGATGAGGCGGGGGCGGCCAGGGCATCGAAGAGTGTGTGAGTGTGTCTGTGTGAGTGCGTGTATTTGGGGTTGGAGTTGGGGGAATGACTCGGGGAAAAACAACAATGGCAAAAACATCCTTTGCTTTGGGGTCTGGGGGTGGTTCATGGAGAAAGGAGTGGGCAGGAGATCAGCTTCTATCTTCCTTCTCTAAGGGGCCAAGCTGCTAAACTGGGGAAGGAAGAAAGCTCTTCCTAGTTACACAGTGTGAGCCCCAGGACCTGCTCCATCAGCTGGGAGCTTGATGCAGAATCTGAAGCACAACTCCAGACCTACTGATGCAGAATCTGCACTTTAACAAGATTCCCAGAGGCAAGTTCTAGAGGCACTGCCCTCCTCATGTGGGATATCCCTTCTTCCCACCCTCTCTACCACCCCAGCCCCACCTCCAACATGCCCCTTCCCAGCCCTCTGATGCTGTTCTTTGCAGTCTTAACTTCTTTGGTCTTGATTTTCCATTCCATTTGCAGAAATCAAGTTTGAACCTTCCCTTCAATGTTTCCCAAAAGCACCTCAAAAATCATCGTTTTCAAACTGGAAGAACTCGGAGAGGACCAGCCCAGTCCATGACCATTTTGCAGATGAAGAAACAGAGGTGAAAGCGGATTTGTTCAAGGTCACAAGGCATGAACAGCCACCTTGGTCTTCTGGATCATGGTAGGAATTAAAAGAATTTTAGCATTTAGGGATCATCTATGTTTAGCCTTTGATCTCACATATAAGAAACTGAGGCTCAAGAAACAGCAATGAGACTGATCCCAGGTCCAGAGGGTCCAGCAGAGCTGACATACTAATAATGGTAATAACATCATCATCAACAGCTGACCCATTTGTATCCTCTCTATGTCATTATTCATGCATATCTTTGCTAGCACTAATCCTTATAATTACCACAGAAGACGTGCTCTTTGTAGATGCAGTTTAGTGATGTCCAGAATTGGAACCCTGTGGCTGCAAAGTCTACAACCCTACACTACCATTAGAACCCACATATTCTGGCACTAAATTCAGTAGTAGTTTCATAACTTCGGCTGCATTATTGATTTCGTTGATTAAATTCAGTACCTATTTTCTGACCACTTATTGTGCAAACCATTGTGCTGGGTATAGTTCGTGCTTATGATCAGCCTTCCCTAACTAGGGCAAAAGTGGGGCTTGGTCTTGTGCTGCATTCTGTGCCCCCTGCCATTTCATAGAGGTGCTTCAGGCATGCAATCTGTTTGGTAAAGATCTGCTGATCCCCTGCACATGGTCACATGGTCATGGTCCCTGTTGTTTTTGGTGATTTAATCCCATAATTTACTTCTGGGCACAGCCAAATTGCAATGGAAGCCAGGCCACAAAGTCCATAGCCCTATCTGACACTCTAAGAGAGACGGAGAGGAGAGCAGGTCTGATCCCTACCCTTCAGGACTTGCATTCTGAATCAAAGTTGAGCAAACCATTGCACACATAACAACTGTTGAGCCTAGTAGCAGCTGGACAGAGTCACAGGCCTTACCTCATGAGCTTCTGGTATGCTCTGAGGAGAGAGCCGGGGGATTAGTGAGAGGAAACTCCACAGAAGCAGCTTTGGGGCTGTTTCTATGGGAAAGTCTTGGAAGAAGGTATAAAGAGGAGTAAGTAGAAATGCACAGACAGAAGCAGCCTCTGGGAGAAGAAACTAGTGGGGGAGGGTTTAGTCTAGGGTATGGCACATTATAGTAGCTCAATTTTTAAAATACACACACTAATAACTTTATCATCGACATAATAAGTTGTCTCTGGCATCTTAATTTATTTTCTCATTCAGTCATTCATAAAAGATGTCTTGAGTACCTGCTATGTGCCAGTCACCATTTTAGGTGTCAGTGATATAATGCTGAACAAAGATACAAATTTCTTGGATTTTGAGCCTCTACTGGGGGAAGATCGGCAATAAACTAATAGTAGGTAAAATACATAATATGTCTGGTGTGATAAACACTATGGAAACAAATAAAGCAGAACAGGGTTATGGAGAAAGTTTGTAATTTAAAATAGGGTGGTCAGGAAAGGCCTAGGTGAGAAGGTGACATTTCAGCAAGGACCTCCTTGAGCAAAGGGAGAACTGGAGTGGGGCATGGGTGGTGGAGAGGAGGAGGGCCAGCCCTGTGGTATAAAGGTGTTGGCTCTACATCTTATGAGATGGGAAAACTTTAGAGGGTTTGGAGCAGAGGAATGCCGTTATCGGACCTTGATTTTGCAAAGATCAGTAGGGCGACAGTGTAAAGGTAGGGGATCAGTTAGGAGGCCACTGCAATAATCCAGGCAACGAAAGAGGTTTTCTGACAGGTGGCTCCCAATATACAAGTGTTAAGTGACTGTCTTGGGCATGGGAGGAGGGCTCAGGCACCTAGCTCTAGAGGAAGGATGGACATTGCCTGTGATAATCCCCTGCCATACAAAAAGAAACCCCCCAAAAATGGTCAATTCAAACAGAAAAGGAACTTTAGCCCAAACAGAAAAGGACATACTGGGTTGGGAAAAAAAAAAGAGAAAATGTATCTTTGTCCATCCAGGTCTCTATCACAGTGGGGAAGATGGGCACAGCATGTGATGTTTCTTGGCTCTTGTCATCCTATGAAAAACATCCCCAGCTGATCTGGCAGACTGACATCCCTAAAACTGTCCTCATGGCCAAGGTCCTGAAATCTTCTGCCAAGGTTTAGTCACAGGGGACGGAGGAGGGAAAGATATTTGATACTCCAGTTTGTTGCCCAAATTCCATAACAAAAAACTCTTTTATAAACACCTCCCTGACCGCTTGATCTCATGCTTTACCATTGATCCAGGGCAATACCCCGGTCCTCTCATGTGATGGACCAGTCTGTGAATCCACAATGGCAATTGCCCATGGCCACTTCTCTGGGATAGGTTTCCCTCTTTCTCCCTGTTCTACTTAGAACATAATTTTACCTGCAGTCCCCTAAATGGGAAATGGAGTCGGTTTAGTTCTATCATCTTTATTCTGAGAATGTAGTCCTTTGGAGTTCCAATTTAATTAGGTGAGGACTTCCTGTTAGAATCCCTATTTTGAGCCAGCCATTCCCCAGATTTCTACTCTCCTTGCCCCCATAACACCACCAAAACCAAAGCTGTTGGTCTAGATGGGAAAATATCCCCAAGGTAAAGGCACCTCTCATTTTCCCTTAGAGCTTAGCCTCACAATTCCGTCAGCCATTCAAGGCTTTAACAAGATTGAAAAATATATTTATCCAATATGAGTTTTTGTAATTTTCAGCAAGGTGGGATGTTACAAACATTCTAACCTATCACTACTGGAGATAGAAATACTTTAACTATTTTCTTATTTATGCATGTATTTGTTATCTATAAACTCCTTGAGGGAAGGATTATTTTGTTTTATTTTCTGCTCTACCCCCAAGGCCTAAGAATAGCGTCAAGCACATAGTTGGCACCCATTAAATATTTCTTGAATGAATGAATAATCTCTGACAACAAGATGCATATTGTGGGAGGCTTTGAAGTACTAAATTAAACTTTATATCATTCCAGCGTAACACATTGCAATTCACCACATGTTGTTGAATGCATTCTACATGCCTCGCTCTTGTTAAGCAATGAGAAGATAACAAATGTAGATTTCTAAGTCCTGGCAAGGCACTCACCACCTCTGCACTTCATCTGTGAAACAAACTGTTGAAGTAGATGCTTCCTTCACTTTAAACTTCTGAGACTAGGACATGGTTCCTGTCCTCAAGGAACAGGAAGGCAATAATAACCTCAGGCCAGGATCAGAGTTCCCTGTGGCCAGTAGGTCCAGAAAATTATAATCATTTCAGTCCCCCACCCTACTTTTTTGGGAGTGGGGATAAGCAAACTCTGCTCCATCCCACAACCAATGTGTAGTCCTGCTTAGAAATGCTGCAGGGATACAACTGCTTTGTAAAACAGAAGCTCCAGTTTTGAATCCTGGAAGGAGCCTACCCATAAAGACAGGGCAGGTGTCTTAGTGGCCAATGCTCAGTCCTCTGAGTTTCACCTTTTGTTATTTTCAGCAAGATGGGATGTTACAAATAGCCTAAGATCTTCTTGCTTCAGTTACTGTTGGCTCACTCATCCTGCTCCCAAGACCAGCCTGCTACCACTTCATTGATATGACTCAACTATGAATCACAGACCCCTTGCTTACCTTCCCTGACACAGCTGAGGCCATCTGGGCCTTTCAAACAGCCCTCTCAAACTCCGAGGGAGAACACAGAAACAAACACAACTACAGGAAAACTAAAGAATCGGCTTAGAAAGCCCAGGCTGGCTGCCGCCTGTGGCTGCCAGATTCTGCTCTATTCCACAAATCATGGGAGACAGCCAGCCCATGGCTTCAACAGCCTGATTACTTCTTCCAAGGCCTTGGTCTGTCCCAATGTGGAAGGTACCATCTTGCCACCAACCTACCCCAAATAGTTCCAATTTTAAACATCCGTGGTCAAGGCTGGGAAGATAGAACCCCCTACTACCCTCTTCAGATTAGGCAGATAGAAACTCCTTCAATAGCTACAGAAGGTCACTGACCCCTTCCAGGTCTGGTGTTTTGTCTGAGAAAATCACCTGCCCTTCTTCAGGTGACTGATACCAGAAATGGCCTCACTATCAGATAAGGTCCCACACAAAGATTGTGGCTTCATCTTTATTAGTCCCTTATTATCCCCATAGTGTAAAAGAACAACACACCCACAGTATTCACTTAACAGGATCTAACAAGCATAAGTCATAGGCAGGTGTTCCCTCAAGGAAATTACCATGAACAAGATGGAGACGACGTTTATCAGGTAACCTGGGAAACGATCTCTCCAGCTCAGCTTATCTTCATCATCATCCTGGGAAGAAACAGGAGAGTAGAGAAAATCAGAAGGCATAAATAACAGATAATCATTCTTTCTTGGTTTGCATAAGCTTGCATATCATTAATTACTCATCATTCTATATAGGTATTTTTCTAGTCTCCAATGACTTACCTTCCATATTAACAGCAGCTCTACTAATTTTGTGATTTCTAGACAGCCTGAAAAAACTATGGCAAAAAGAGGACAAGATTTGAGTTCAATCTCATTCTGGGCTGAAGTTTTCAAAAGTTCAACCACTCATCAGCTGCATGATCTTGAATGTCTCTTCACTTTTCTGACTCTATCTTTTTATCACAAGTGGGCACAATTGCAACACTTGTCTTGCCTACCACACAGGATGGTTTTGTTTTATTTTAATGAGCAACATGTGAACATGGTAAAGCAATGGACATAGGACATATACAACCCAACCACAGGGCGACATCCTAAAACAGACCATTCTTTCAATAAAACATCAACCATAAGTCCTAGTACATGTACAAATTACCCACAATTTTTGTTCTTTAAATAACCTTTATGTGCTATCATTTGTTTACCCCAAAATGATGGTGCTCTCTCCTGATCACAGATGCAGACATTTCTAGCTTAGCAGCTTAAGTCAATGCCTTGCAGTTAGTCTGGCTGAGAACCCTACCTTTTCCCCTCAGACTGGGTCCAGTGCACCCAGAAGGCTGCCCTCTGGGACAACCGTATGTCTGACCGGAGTCCTTTGGCTTACTCTGACCACCCTCATGGGGTTGGGTGATGTCAACAAGGTATGTATGAATGATAAAAATCCCTGCAAATTAACTGCCATGTAACTTTAGTCCAGGCACTTGCTTTTTCTGAGCTGCTCTTCTATAAAGTGAGGATTGATACAGTTTTGTTCTGAAGACCATTTGAAGCCATGTTTGTAAAGATGCTCTGAAAATGGCAAAGCACTCTGCTGGTGAGGTAGGAGTCCTGCCCTTCTGCAATGTGTCTGAATCAAACTCAGTGAGTGAATGTTCCAGGGCCCCTTCTCTAGTCTCTCTCCCTCCTCACCACTATTTCAGAACACACCTGGTTTGGCTCTAGCAACAGTGCCATCTAGCCTTTGAAAGCTTGTACTGTAGGCCAAGGGCCTTCTTGGCCTAAAAGACATCTTTCTAAAAACCTTTGTGCATCCACTGTGTGCAGACCTTGTTGGCAGGAATGGTGAAAGACAGAAGAAAGTGGATTTGACCACTGCCCCTGGGGACCTCACAGTCTAAGAAAGCAGAAGTGACACCCACATACCAAAAGCTTCAGGAAGCACTTGACGGTGTGGGAGCGAGGATTATACTGGGCATGAGCCTGTGGGATACTTGAGGAAAGAAATGACATGTTTTTCTTACTGCATGTCTGGAGCTGAGCACAGGGTTGAGCTGGCTTAATAAACACGGTAGACATGAGTGTTAAGGCTGAAGTCATTTAATAATTAGCACTTTCATTTTACAGATGGTATAAACAAGGGATACTCAGTTTTTTCATAGACCTCATGATAAAATCGGGGCTCTAAACTTCTAGCCCAGCAGATTTTCCATCACACAATTGAGAATAAGGTAACTACAGGTTGTGAGCGCTCTGGATGAGTGACAGCATATGAGTCTATTTCTATGAAGACTGGGATACTCATCCATATTCTTCTACCTTAGGCCAACATCAAAAGGGAGTCACACTTCTTTCTTTTTCTTCAGTATTAATTCTTAGTTTTTTACTCCCACTAGTGCTATTTGGCTGTTAGATTCTGATAAGGAAAACTGAAGATGGGCTGGTGGATAACAGCCCTCGGTAGGGATTCTGCAAAGAAAAGGAGTGTGTGGCAGGGCTCTTCCTGAGGTCTCCCTCATCATAATGAAAGTTTTGATGATTCTTTGACTCCTTCTCTGTACTCTGGCCTAGAGTAAAGGAGTTCTGCCTTACAACCCAGCAAGCCAGATGTGTTCTGAAATACCAGTGATGAGTAGAAAAGAAGAAACTCTGGTTCATAGGTTCCATGTTGCCAGTTCCTCTGGCAGGGGATTCCCAAGTGAGGAATGGAGCAAGAAGAGGTAGAAAAGCCTGCGCCTGGCCCCTGAGATGAAGGGAGGGGCGAGAAACACCTGGTCAGTAAGGGTGAGACTGGGTTCAGAGTAACCCTCAGGGCTGCGTTGGACATTCCAGGAAGAAATAGGGGTAAGGGAGGTAGGAGCAGAGGTGCAGAAAATATGGCCCAAGATGACATGGGCTCAAATAAATAAGCACAACTGGAGAGGATGACTAATAATCCTGTGACCGAATCAGGCATCTGAGATGGTTTTGGTTAAGGTTTCCTGCCAAGTGGTTGTCCACCTTTATCAGGTCAGGGACCAAGAGGGATTAGATGTCTTTGGACCAGTCTATACCCTGCAGTGACAACTCCATCCTGAAAAATCAGTTTTGGTTCCGTGCCACTCAACAAACAAGGTCTGAGCACCTTGGAGGGCTGGGCCATCTGTGCTGGATACTGAGGACACAGTGAGGAGAAGACTAGCCCTGCCCAGAAGGAGCTCAGAAACCACCGTGGAAACAAAAGGATCTCAGTGCTAACCTTGGCAAGGAAGGTGGCATGACTAGTTTGCAAGAAAATGAGACAACTAAAAAGCAATTGACTTGGTTGTCCTCTCAAAGCAACTATCTTCAAGAAAAATACTCATTTTGACATAGATGTTCTAGCATTTGTTGACAAGTCATCCCCTCTCATGTTTACATTGATGAGCCCTTTTTTTCTGGAAGTCATAGTTTCCATCTCATACATTGAGACACTATCCAAACATAAGAGGCCAAGGGAAACACAAAGATTACCAACTGCCTTCCAAGCTCCCAAAATTACTGGGAAAGATGACAGTGAAAACAGCAGATTTTACATATAATAACTGGTTCTGATAGAAGAAGCTAGTTAAAAGTTTCCACTCACTGGCACATTAAAGATGTGAAGATTGTCATTCTTCATTGAATGACATGGGGCACCATGTCATTAATGTAACTACACTCTGCATAATCATCACATAGAAAGCCTGCGGGATAATGAAAAGAGAAGTAGCCTTGAGACCAGAACACCCAAGTTTAGCACTTGGCTCTGATATTAACCAGTGAAGTAAACTTGGGGAATTTCCAGGGCCTTAGTTTCCTCATCTGTAATTATATTCCTTATCTGTAATATGTAAATGATAAATTATCATGCATTTTATATGAATTAGCCAACATATGGAGCCGGCCACACTGGCACACCTGCACACACAGGTAGGTGAGAATTCTTAGTGTCTCTCTCCTTTTAAAACAGAAATGACAACACTTGTCCCACCTAAGTGATGGAGGTATTGTGCAGATCATGCATGAATGCCTGTGAGAGAGCTTTGTAAACTGCAAGGTGTCACACAAAAGTAAGGTCTAGTCAGCTTCATGGTTGTATCAGAAGCAGGTGATTAGGAAGCACTTAGCTAATGTCCCCACTGTCAAGACATGAGCCTAACTGTCATCTGTGTCTATGTCTTTGTCTCTATTGTCCTGTTTCTGTCCTTGGACTATGCCCCATTCCAAGCCTCCAACAGCAAGAAGCACAGTGATATTCACATTAAGTCATGGAACTGCTCTTTTGAAAATATTTATATTCAGAATATATATTCTTCATACTATCTTTGAAGTTTTTCTGTATATATGTGCATACACACACAAACACACATAATTCACACCCAGTTTTCCCTATTACATTGTATGGATATGTTTTTCATAATCAATAAATAAATATTTAAGTTATTATTAACTAAAGTTCATACTTTATTTGTATTTTCTAAACTTTTACCCACTGGCCTTTTTCTGTTCCAGGATCCTGTCCAAACACTACATTTAGTCATCATGTCTCTTTAGGATCCTCCAGACTACACAGTTTCTCAGACTTTCCTTGTTGTTGATGACCTTAACCATTTTGAGGAGTACTTACTGGTCAGGTATATTGTAGAATGTTTCTCCATATGAATTTGTCTGAAGTTTTTCCCATGATTAGACTGAAGCTGTAAGTTGTGGGGAAGGAAGACCACAGAGGCAAAGTGCCATTTTCACCCCTTCATATCAAGGATACAGGCAATAATATACCTCTCAGTATGATGTTACCCTTGATCGCTTAGTGGAGGTAGTGCTTTTGTCAGGTTTCCCTGATCCACAGTTACTCTCTTTCTCCTGTCCATACTTTATTTAGAAGGAAGTCACTATATGCAGTCCATATTTACTCTACCTCCTTGAATGAGTAGTGTCTGCAGATTCCCCTAAGATTCAATCCCAATTTTTATATTTTGGATTTGCTTAAAGCAGGGCTATAGGGAAGAGATGCTCACTCATACCAGTGTTAAGCCAATAAAGATTGAAGACGATAAGCCCCTAGTGATCAGTAGGCATCCTGCTTGGAACAGGACTGGACTTGGGAATGAAAGGAAGCAGGCTGTGGTCCTCTTTATTTGGGAAAGCCAACAAGAGGCAGAAAGCTGAGCACAGTCATCATCACTAGTAGCTCTTCATCATCATCAGCCTCCACTACCTCCAACTAAAAACAAGCAGGTCAAGAATAGATAGGGTCAGACTGGTTTCTATTAAGATCTTCATACATTAAGTCTATGTTCCAACAAATATTTTAGGGGCAGTGTCAAGGAGAGGGAAGAACAGTGGATTTGGAAATTAATTAATATAATATAATATAATATAATATAATATAATATAATATAATATAATATAATATAATATAATATAATATAATATAATATAAATATAAATATAAATATAATAAAGAGGTAGAGACCAGGAATAAAAGCTGTCTCTACCTCTTTATTAGCTGAGCAAGCTTGGGCATATTATCTAATCTATCCCTGCCCTTACATCCTCATCTCTACTGGGATGACTGGCAAACCTGCCTTACTAAGCACTCAGTGGGTATATGTGATAGTACTTAGAAACTTACAAGTTTT